AAACAGCATAGTACTGGCAAAGAAACAGACCCAAGGATCAATGGAATAGATTAGAAGGTGCAGAAACAACTCCAGGCATACTCAGTCACCTCATCTTTGACAAAGGACCTAACCACCCTCATTGGAGGAAAGATAGCCTATTTAATAAATGGTGTTGGAAAAACTGGATTTCAACCTGCCAAAGATTAAAACTAGACCCATACCTAACACCATGCACTAAACTAAGATTGAAGTGGATTAAAGATCTAAATATTAAAACAGAAACACTAAACTTGCTGGAAGATAAGTTAGGTAGAACTCTTGAAGAAATTGGCATAGGAAAAGACTTTATGAACAAAACCTCAGTAGCACAGGAACTAGCACAAAGAATGAACAACTGGAATCTCATCTAATTAAAAAGCTTCTGCACTGCAAGAGAAACCACCAACAGAGCAAAGAGACAACATACAAAGTGGGAAAAAAATTTTAGCAGCTGTACCTCAGATAAAGGACTACTATCTAGAATATATACAGAACTGAAAAAAATCAGACCCCCCAAATTCAAGAAAACAATTCAAAAATGGGCATCTGAAATGCACAGACATTTCTCAGACAAAGAATTAAAAGCAGCAAATAAATATATGAAAAAATGTTCAACATCACTGGTCATTTGAGAGATACAGATGAAAACAACACTGAGATTCCATCTCACCCCAGAAAGAATGGCTGCTATGAATAATTCAACTAATAACAAATGCTGGCGGGGCTGTGGGAAGAAAGGAACCCTTCTTCATTGTTGGTGGGAGTGCAGACTGGTACAACCACTGTGGAAATCAGTATGGAGATACCTCAAAGAACTAGGGCTAGAGGTCCCATTTGACCCAGCTATTCCCCTGCTGGGTATTTTCCCAAAAGAATTAAAAGAATCATACCACAGCAATATATGTGCACTCATGTTTATAGCAGCACAGTTTGTAATAGCTAAAACTTGGAAACAGCCCAAGTGCCCATCAACTCTAAACTGGATAAAGAAGATGTGGGTTTTTTTTTTAATAAAATGGAGTACTACTCAGCCATAAAGAATGAGAAACTAGAGACATTTATAGCTAAATGGATGCATATTGTGGTCATACTCATAAGTGAAATAAATAGGACACACGTGTAAATAGTGAATAGTTTCTCTAGTGTGAGAAACTGAAAGTGTAAATAAGAATTAAAATTATTAAAATGAATAATTGATAATTTGAAATAGGAAGAAAAGTTCCAAAGGTGTAGGGTTGGTGGGAGGGGAAGGGGAAAAGAAAGGAGGGAAAGGATAAATTATGGGAAAAGAAAAAAAATGGAAACAAAGTCTATGTAAATAGGGAAGGGTGGATGGGGTGAAGGGAGCACAGGTAATGGGGAAATAAATAAGAACCAAGATACATCATGTACAGGTTGCAAGCACCCAAAGATAAATGTAAATGTGTTGTTTACCTAAAATGTACCAATAAAAGAATTTAAGGAAAAAAATAAGAAGTGCTAATACTCAGAATACCTTATTGATTTATAGTAAGCCAATATTAATGTAAATAAACTATTCTTTACATATAAAACATGTCTAGAAGTGTTTCTTTTGTTTTGAGAGGTCTGTCACTACATTGGAAAGCAGATGAAACATTGATTTTCCCCCGAGATATCTATGTGCATATATTTTGTGGATAATTTTGGGAGACACGCTCATTTTATAAATCCTGTTTTAGATGAATCTTATTCTAAAGTTACCTAGTACTTTAGCTTAAGCAAACTTGAAATCCACAATACAGGTAGAGATTTGGGACACAAGAGGACTGGAAGACAAGTTTGCAGCATGTCCTAGGGCTAGTCCAAAAAAACCCCTTTCTTTCAATATCTTCTTTGTATTTTCTTTGTAGTTTTAACATCTCACACTGCTATCTTCCCTAATGCCTAGAATCAACCTTAATCTTCTGGGAATATATAGTATATTCATTTTAATTTTCTTGTTTTTTCTTTTTACATGACTAACTTCTTAGTAAGTTAATTTCATTAGCAATAAAGAAATTCAGTACCTGGTCTGTCTACCAAATAATAGATGGCTTTTTGAAAGCTCTCACATATATTCTGAGAGACCCACTATAATGCACCAGTCAAGGACAGGAAAGACTAATCTCTGACTGAGAAAACATTTACTTGTCTACTATAATCAGATATTGCTACAAACACATCTTATAATTCAACTTTACAACGCAGTTTAATTTTGTCTCCAAGTGTTGCCTCCTAAGGCTAAGGGTATTGAGTCGTAGGACACCATGCCTATCAGTTTCACTGTAGAAGGCTTTTTGTTGAAGGTAACATAAAAACTACTTGCTCCTTGATGACCTGATTGCTTGTAGATGCATCAAAAGTAATTCTGGCCTTGCGTAGACCTTGAATCAAACGTCTTCAGCCAAGAAAAGCTGATGGGTGTTTTCATCTTCCTATTCATAGCTGTCTTCTCTTCATTTGATACCATTCTCTTCTCCATCCTATGTACTTTTTACTCCCTGGTTTTAGGGCCACTATGACTTTTGGTTCCGTCTTCATGGTTCTTTATTTTACTCTCACTTAAAGTGTAAACACTATGCTTCTCTTTTCTTCCCTTGCATTCAAGTGGTTTCAGTAAGCTCTTGTCTCCAAAGGGTCTTTCCAAGCAACCTTTTACCTTTATTGTAGATGTCTTCCTGGCAGTGCAAATCATAGGCTAAAGAGAGCATACACATGAGACCTGCCAGTGGCTCGCACATAGACCATCCTGTCTCTTCTTCAAGTCCCTTTGCAACTTAAAATCTCAGAAAAAAATTCAGTGACACAAGTTTCTGGGGTGTTATGGCCAATTGTTTTCAGCTGTGGCTGATGAAAAGGATTCCACAAAAACTGAGCTTTAATAGTTCTATTTCCATTCCTGCCCTCATCATCTGTTGTTCCACCTTTATCAAACACTCTAAGTACAGCTCATTAAGTTTGCATTCCTTTTTTCCTACTGGAATTACTGTGCAATTAAAATACAGTGTTTTTATGTTGAAATGATGAAGATTGTACCCAAATGTCTCAATTAAAAAATCAGGTAAATGACAATAATAAATTGTGTTTTATATTGTTGAAATATATTGCTGAAAAATATGCTGAAATATATTTATTTGTAGTGGAATGGCTCTCTGGTTACTTCCTTGCTTGTCTCCTACCTTACTCAAAGATGAAAAAGAACGGAAAATGCCTTTCCTCAGAGATGTTGGAGCCTCGTGGGGACAGCTTCCAAGGTCTATGTTAGAGTATATAAGACTCCTTTTCAATATCTCTGGTCCATCTTACTTCTGTCTCCAGTCTCAAGCCTTCCCTCAAGTACCTCAAAACTCCAGCCTTACCAAAGGACCTAAAGTTTATTAATTCTACTATCTCTAGGTTAGCATGGTGCCATAGTTCTTGCTTTTGGACCAGTCCTTCTTTACTTGGTTGATTCCTGTATTTTTTTAAGACTTTGCTTAAACTTTATTTCCACCCAAGAATTATTGAATGTGTTTCAGAAGTTATGGAAGAATCAATAAATCCTTTTTATTTGGATTACTCCCTGCATTTTATTCCCTCTCTCAAATCCATAAAGATAGGGTGACCTTCTCTCACACACACACCACACACAAACCACACACAAAACACAGCTCCACCAGACAGAAAACACCATCCTCTCCTTTCTTGTTTTCCTTTTTTTCTAGGTTCACCTCACTGGAGAGTCCTTTTGAGGAAGAGGGGAAGGATCAAAATGATTGTAACTGTATGGCAAATATACACCAGTTAAAAGAGACAGGATATCTTTCATTTGACTTTTCTTTCTTATTCTTTTCCTAAGATATTTCTAGGTCCAAAAGATAAGTTTTTTGGGGGAAATGGGAAGGCATATTGTGTATATTCATATTTGTCCCTTTTTACTACTCTAGTGCTGATTGTGTCTTCCTGCCTTCCAGTGAGATGTAATGTTTTGGAAAAGGAGATAGCTTTCACCATGCTACTACCCCTCCAAATGTTTTTCCTTCAATCCCAAGTGAAATAATGATTCCCTTCTGTGTGCATCTACAGCATAGAACACAGGTTATACTGCAGTTACTAGTTTCTAGGTCTTTCCAATAGACAGTGAGTCACAACCATTTTTTGTAATTCAAGCTATACGTTCATTTACACTATATTTTTCATGGACCTGCTTATCTTGGATACTAGAAATACAACATATAAACAGTAAGTTGTAGGTTCTAGGGTGCTCAGTCTCCTCTTGACACCTGACAGAGACCTTCCAGACTCTGGGCTTCTTGAGGACAATGTCTGAGACTTAATCATGTCTGCCCTCAAAATGTGTTAGACTGAATAGGTGCCTAGAAACATGTTTGGTGGTTAGTTAGCTGGCTGGTTATATAGTGAGATAGTATATTGCATGAGTTTAGGATCAGCATGCCTTGTCTCAGCTTTTTCATTTACTATTTATTTAACCTTAAGGAAGTTATTGCACCTCTTCTGGCATGAGTTCCCCCAAACATTAATCATGAATAATACTATATCTGATGCAGAATATTTTTTGTTTTATCTCACATTTATTGTGTGTCTACTATGTACTAGATGCTGCCCTCACTGCTTTATATGGATTAACTCATTCAATCCTCTGTATTAAAAAGAATAAAGCTTGCAAATTATGTAGTATATTGTGAATTTCCACAAGCATTAATTATTAGGAAAGAAAGAAAGCCTGGGTATAGCTATGAAATTCTTCCTATAAGATAAAGCCTGTAGTTAAGTCTGGCTTGGCTATAACACTTCAGTGTTACAAATTAGGCCTCCTCTTTTCCTTGTGTTCCTGTTCATGGAGCTTTCTTTGTACATGATTCTCCTGTATTACTTACTTCCCAGGGACCTGATTCAATGTTTGGACAGAAGGGTGTGTGTGCTGAGTCATAATAATCGTTCCTCTGATTAATTGGTTGATTTGCTATTCCTGACCCCAGACTCTGCCTGACTTGAATGAACCCCATTAACAGAATGAACCACCCCTCACCAAGGGAACAGGGCTTCTTCAGGGACTCTTTTCTGCGCTGGATCCTAGAAACAAGGTGAGCTTTTACATCCACTAAAGTTCATGACACTAATGACAGAAATTCTTCAATTGACTTTTACTTAAACCAACTTGCTGGATTAAGCAGCCCTCTGTACAACATACCGGCTGATGCCCATGACACTTTTATCTGACTGAATTTTATAAGAGGGCCCCAGCTATCTTTGCATCATTTAGTTCCCAAGGCCCTTTTGTGTTATTCTCCCTTTTTCAGGCTGCTCTTGCCGATCCGAAGCCATTTAAGATACACATTCAACATTGACACTTTTATTTTAACTCTAACTTTGGGAGTTAGTTCATTCCATCCTTTGAACTATGCTTTCCAGCTGGGAAGTTGTGGCATACTGAGCAAGTTACATATGTGTTCAGCTATTGATCCCTCTAGGCGTCGTGGTAGACACTGGGGCAGCTAGAGTCTATGAGCAGTTTGCTTCTGGCCATGAGGAAACTTATCATTTGACCTCTGTGTGCCATACACATTATTGTTTTCCATCTATGCCATGTCCTGAAAAAGTCGGGAAGTACTGTGTTTAGAACACAAGTTATTAAATGTCTTCTAACTGTGGAACCACAGTATATGAATTGAGTTAAAAGTGAATCTTTTAATAACATTGAACTATATACTTAAACATGGTTAGGATGGTACATTTTATGTGATGTATATTTTACAATTTAATTTTTTTGAGTGAAATGGCAGCCAGCTCCTGGAACCTTGGTGTTCCTATTGCCAGACTTTGCATGTCACAGAGAACATAGCTGAGGAAGTTGCCTTTTGAAAGAAAAACAAACAAACACAAACAAATGCCTTGCTCTTCCACTGGACTCTGTAATACAGTCTAACAATGCATCCCTTTGGGGAAACAGCCTGCAGCAACTCTGCAATGTGGCAGCACTTGCCTCTTTGGCTTTCCCATGTCAGGACATGTTTGCTTTTCCTGACATTATCCTCTGTTGCTCTCCTTGGGCACTGGATACTGAATTCACCACAACATGTTGAAAAATCACCTATTATCTATCATAAATATTAACACATATTTACTGACAAGGGATTTTTAGTCATCTATCTATATATCTATTACACAAGATAAAATTTTAGAATGGTATAAAATACAAAAGAAAAGCACTCCCACACCTCCCCTAGTTAAACCATTGCTGACAGCTTGGTAGTTTTGTGTCTATATAGCCTTCCAGAAAATTTTTGTGCATACAAACATCTATGTATAATATATCTATGTCTTTTTCATATTCTCTTTTTACTTAATAACACATCTTGGTATTCATTCATGTCATCACTTGGCATTCTATATCAAGTTGTACAAAAGCTGCATAGTATTCCATGGAATGGTTGTACTATAATTAATTAACTCCTCTAGTGATGACATTGTGGTTGCTTCCAATTGTCTGAATCAAAGTATTTGGACAATCTAAATGTTTAATGACTACATCAACTGTATTCTATGCTATAATATCAGGTAGTCGGTTAAAAATAATATAAAACCTATTCAATTCAACAGCGAAATGTTCATCATATCTTCTCACAAGAAAACTAAGTTACAAATAAATTTGAACAGTTTGAGCTCAGTCCACTTGGACAGAACAGGAAGGGTAGATGTGACAGAGAAACAAGAGACCAGTGTGGGGCAGTCGGAATTAATAATTGAGACTCACACAGATAATTCCAAGTGTGACCAGGCTGATGGAGTGATCCTTGAGAAAGCATATCAAGGACAACCAAGGGAGGCTTCTGAGAGGAAGTGGGAATAGGGCTGAGTATGTGTGATCATTAATTGTGATATACTGACTTGATTTGAGTAAAAACTGCCTAGTAGATTAATAAAGCTCTGGGTGTGTCTATGGATAAGTGACATGTAGGCCACAAAGTGAAGAAGGAGGAGCCACCCCAGATGTATGTGACACCAACCAATAGGTTTGTACCTTGGTAGAATAAAAAAGGAAAGAAGAAGGAAATCTGCCCTTTTTTGGAGGAGTTCCAGTCTTTGCCCTTGCTTTTGGATATTGGTCTCCAGTGGAGACTCTTAGGCCTTCCAGCAGACTCTTTAGCCTTCCAGTGGAGACTCCAGCTTTCCAGTACAGACTCTTAGGCCTTACAACACAGACTCACACTGGTGATTACAGTGAGCTTCCAGGTCTTTGAACTTCAACTGCTACTGAATCCTCCAGCTGTCCAGCACACAGACAGACATTTTGGATTCTTTTACCTGTGGTTCCACAGACAGTCATCGCAACTATTCCCTTTCTGATCCTCTAAGCCTATCTAATAAATTCCTGTATATGTATATTTTGTATTGATTCTTTCCCTCTAGCACACCCTAACTAATACAGTGTGGAAGGAAAGCAGGATTGTAGGGACCAAGAGGAACATGGTGGGATTCCTGCAGGCTTTGAATGTATTTGGTAAGGTGGCAGTAAGATGTGCTGCTTTGCCAAATTAGCTGATTTGTCAGTCACCAAAGTGAGACAGTGAGTGACTGAGAGTATATGCCCTGTATCTGACTCATGTGGGTTCAAATTCTAGCCCTGTTACTTACTTGATATTTGCTTTGATAAGTTATTTAACTGTTCCAAGCCTCAGTTTCCATGTCAATAAAATGGGAATCATAACAATACCTACTTCATCAGATTGCCATGAAGTTTAACTGAAATATAGGGTATAAAATAGCATTATGCCTTATTGGCACATAGTAAGTTAATAATGCTGACTGAACCAAATATATCATCACACTTAAAGGCTTAGTTTAATAGTAACAATGATGGATTCATAATCCTCAGAGGCAGAAAGTTTTTTCAAAGTCTCTGATATGAGGTATCAGAAAATCATAGAACTCAGGCAGATGTCTGAATTTCTAAATGAGGGAAAGGAATTATGAATAGGATGGTAGCTAAAAGTATTGGCTTTGGGCTCAAAATGACAGGGCTTTAAGTCTCTGGCTCTGACACATTCACTGTATAATACTGGTCAAGTTCATTTTTAATAAGGCCCATCCCTTGCTTTCCTCATATGAAAAATGATGACAGTAGCACTATCTACATTACAGAGTTTTTAATACTAGGACTAAATGAGAAAGCACAGAAAAATTGCTTTAGTGTCTGGAACTCAATTAATACTCAGTTCATTTACTGAACAAATATTTGTTGAGCATTTACAATGTGGTAGGTTTTATGCTCAGAAACAGAATATTTTGGTGAAAACTATCACTACTACTTCTACTATGACTAAAAAGGTGTCTCTTGCTATCTGCATTGTCACTATCTAGATACTCAATATAACAACTTAATGAAAAATATTTATCCCAAATTTACTATGCACATTAAAAGCCGTCACATGAAAACAGTTGAGTTACATCGGAGTCCCATCTAAAGAATATAGAATATTCACTTCTCCAAGCCAGATGGCACCTTTGTTACAGATGCATTGTACACTATTCATTTTTGCCCCCCAGCACTATTATTATCATCTTCCTCATTTTACATAATATCTTCTGGAAATATAATCTACATATGAAAGATTTCTAGTAGTTCCACAGTAAAACAATCTAATTTCACTTTGCTTATTGGAAAATTATCACACTTATTTTTCAGCTCACAGAACTCTTTTCTGGTGCCAGACCACTGAAAAACATCCCTCAATACATGTTTTTGAGAAATACTATTGTACACTGTCTAGAATGAGATGTGACAAACTTTAATAAAATTGCCAACCCACCCAGTATCCTCCTGTTTTTTCTGGAGCCCTTTTCCTCTTGCTTCTTTTTTCCATCTCATTCTTTCATTTCTCCTTCCCCATCTCTTCTCTTTTCTTTTCTGCATTTATTGACACATTACTAAGAGACTTGCCTATCACCAAAATTATCTTGAGTCCTTTTAGCACTGACAACAATACTAAGGGCTGTCAAAATGTGAAAAAGTATTCATTGCCCCTGCCCTTTAGAAGCTGTCAGTAACTCATAGATCTGGACTGGGTGGGTATGCATAATTCTCGACAATATAAGTAATCTATATGCAAGCAAATGGCTGAACACATGGCATGCTCCTGGAGGGAAATGGGAGTACTCAGTGAATTACAGCTACACCTTTCTCAGTACAACTTGCCAAACACAGATCAGTAGAGGAACAATAAACACAATTGTTATTCTCTCTATAATGTATGCTATTGTACAGCCAGTGCTGTACTCTAAAAGGGAAATTGTGCAATTTTCAGATTTTGTCACTTGCTACTTTCATTGGGAAGTTGCACAAGAACTATGAGGTTTAGATTCAGCTTCCAACTTACCCACAGACTTGCTGTGGAACTTTGAGTAAGCCACTGACCTCTTTCGGCTTCAGGGGCAGTTTCACCATTTGACTTGAAGTGGCCATTGCATTCATGGTCTGATATTCTGTGATATAATAGGATTGCTGCCCTTTGGTGGTGGCTTAGAGCTGGCTAAGGTTTTCTTTCAAAACCTATTGCTGACTTTCCAAAGCCTGGCCAAATGTTGCTTGGGAGGGAAAGATTGACAGATTTGCAAGTACAAACTGACTGTGAGTGGGTGTTGTGTATCTATTTGCATACCTTGCTCTTCCTAGCAAAGCCCAGCATTGATTTGCTCAATGAATATTTGATTTGGAAGCACATTTTTTCAGATTCTATTTACATTCTTGGAGTAAGCTGTGGTGGGTTAATCAAGAGAACAATGTGTGAAAATTGAACAAACATAGTTATCACTTATCTAGAACTTAAACAAATTCATAGCTATATCATTTAGGGTTTTCTGGAGGAACAGAATCATTAGGGAACTTATTATATAGGCTTACAAGAGCAGAAGTGGAAGAGTCCACATTGCCACCTGTGCAATCAGAGGTGGAATAATCTGAAAAGGCCCTCTGCATACTGGGGAGTTTAAGAGAATGGAAGCCCTGGAGCAAGACAGATCAAGGGCAGCACCAGCCCAAGGTCAAAGGCCTGTTAGCTCATGGTAGTCATTGGTGTGAGTCTGC